GCTTTCTATTTAATATTGTACTAAGAAAGCGATAAGAGAATCTGGAATAACAACCAGAGGAACTATTATTAATCGCAACGTACAATTACTAGCGTACGCCGATGACATCGACATTATTGCAAGAGCAGCAACAAAAAGAATGGGACTAGAGGTTAACACTAGTAAGACGAAGTATATGAAAGTATCAAATTATATACAAGCAACACAACCCGAAGATCTAACGATCGGAACATATACTCTGGAAGGAGTAAGAGAGTTTATATATCTACGCTCACAAATTAATCAGAATAATGCAGTAAGTGCAGAAATTAACAGACGGATGTATCTGGCAAATAGAGCCTATTATGGATTTAAAAAAAATTAACAACAAGCCTAGTTACAAAAAGAACGAAACTAGTGATATACAGAACTCTTATCAAGCCCATCCTCAGATACGCGTCGGAAACATGGACGATGACAAAGAACGATGAAGAACGTTTAAGATGCTTTGAGCGTAAAATCCTCCGGCATATCTATGGAGGAGAACAGGAGGGCGGATTATGGCGCAGACGCTAGAATTTCAAACTTTACCGCTTGTATGACAAACCTGATACTATAAGGTCCATCAAAATAAACCGGCTGCGGTGGTTAGGTCACATAGAGAGAATGAATGAGATGGAGCCACCAAAACATATTTATAATCAAAGAATAGATGGGGTGAGAAGGAGAATCAGACCCAGGGCATGATTTAATGATCAGGTGGAGGAAGACTTGAGAATGTTGGGAGTACAAAACTGGAAAGTCAAGGCGAAGAATAGGAAAGAATGGAGACTTATCCTTGAGCAGCCCAAGACCCACCATGGGTCGTGGAGGCAATGATGATGATGATGATTATTTCCACATTTTTTAAAGTTATAGGCAGGATTTTATTGTTTTTTTTATAAATATTCAAGTTTAAATTCTTTTTTTATATATAATAAATATGATTAGATTGGTTTATTTGTCCCAGTGTTTGTTTATTTTTCAGATTTACATTAGGGATAAAGACATTCTCAGATCTGAGAGACAGCTAGACGAAGCCACACAATTAGCTTTCAAAAAAATTTGTGACTTTTATTGTTATACATTAGCTTCCAACTTTCAGATGTTCGTATTGTTGGAAATAAATGAACAGACAACTAAAATAATGAGAATTGGTAATGATCCTCTAAATAGAATGATAAGAATAGGAAGTTATTTAATTTGAAAAAGTAGCTAATTTAAGTCCTTGGGAATTGTCATATTTAAGGCTGTTTTATCGGTGCACCAAAATTTTTTCTCTGTTATTTACCGACGAAATGTCTCGAAATTTGGACATGTTATACGAAATTATGTTGCCTTAAAACTGATGGTTTTACTTTTTTTATTTTTTTGAATTTTCCGTTGAAAAATTGGATTATACTGTTTAACGTTCTATTATAACCAAACTTTTCACGCCCATCAGTTGAAAGAGTTTTTTTTTCTGTAATCGTTGATTCTTTTTTCACCTTTCTGTGTCCAGTAATAATCGAGAAAAGCGTATTCAAACTTTGAAGAAAATTGCTAAAAAATACTGAAATCTAATAGTGAAACGTGTTCCTCATCATTGTCGCTGAGCTTGATCGATAGTGACGTCATATCTCATGAACGTACGGTACGGTCTTATTTTTATTTTCTATGGGTACGGTCAGTTAGTTCGCTTGAATTAATCCATTTTAGTTCTTTCATTCTTGTATTTTCTTTATCAACTTGCTTAGTTTTTACAGTTTACAGTATTCTTATTTATTTTGAAAACATTGAAATTATTTAGTTTACGCGTATGTTAAGTAATATATTATTAGTTTAGTGGTATAAGTTAAAAGTTCTTTAGTTTACGCGTATTTTTAAGTATTACATTAGGTTAGTGATATAAGTTATAAGAGACAAGATAAAAAATGAGTCCCAGTAAACGTCCTATGTCAAGGAAAACGAGAGCAATTGCACTGCAGTAAGTATTTATTATTTATATTACAACCGTTTTTAAAAGCTTTTATTTAACTTTATATATATATATATATATATATATCCTCTATATATATATATATATATATATATCCTCCAAAGAATTGTATTCTTAGCGTCGTTATACAAACTCTATATATATATATATATATATATATATATATATATATATATATATATATATATATATATATATATATATATATATATATATATATATATATATATAGATATATATATATATATATTATATATATATATATATACATATAATATATATATATATATATATATATATATATATAATATATATACATATATATATATATATATATATATATATATATATATATATATATATATATATATATATATATATATATATATTATATATCTGACATTCGAAATGTCAGTTTTTTGTATGTGTCAACAAATAATCTTTAATAAATAGTTTGGAGATATCCTTATGTGTACAATTATTGTAATTATTGAACCTCTTAACTTATTTTCGTCTAGTAATTTCATTACAGAATGCATACAAATCCCATTTAACTTTAACAAGAATTCAAATTCTACTCTCCAATGACAGCATGCGCGAACACGACCGATTTTGTGATACGGGAAGAGCCTATCTTGTTATTCATAGTATCATGGTTCAATCCATCAAGAATTAGCAGAAACATCTACTTTACCTAGTTGTAGTGTCGATTCGTAAGTAACCCTTTTTATTTTTTTTTTATTTACTTACCGTAAAGTAAGTAAATAGAGGGTTCATGACCTTACATATTATTTGTTTATGGTCAAAATATTACCAATGTTTTACTCTTAAATAATAATAATAACAAATAATATCATTTGCAGAAAATACTTTAAGTTTTATCGTTATTTCTAGTAATAGCTGTCATTCTCAGTCAGTTGAGATTGCCTCTCCGCAAAAACCATCTTTTTCGGTAGAAGACAGAAGAATAGTGGACATAAACTTTTTCATTAAATCTATTCAAGGTTTGAATAATCATTCTCCATTTTCATGCAACTTTTCTAATATGGAGATTATCAAAGAAAAAATGGACGGATTGATAAGTACATTGACTTTTAAATGTTAAATGAGGAATATTGAAAAGGAGATAGCAACATAGGATTCTGGTAACAATTCACTGAACTTGAATGGTTCTGGTTATTCAGACATACAGCAGCAGCACGCTGCATTAAATATACCTGTGATGTCCTACAAACAGTATGCAAAACATACGGAAATAGTTGCAGATATCATCAGCCAAACACTTTGTGATTCCTTAGAAGAGGCTGGACGGGAGGAATTAGCTTTAGCCAAAGAAATTGGTGAAGTAGATTCCGACGGAAATGGGTTAATAACCGTTATAGCTGATGGTGCTTGGTCAAAAAGATCGTATAAAGTAAACTATGATGCTTCTTCAGGTGTAGTACCTGACGTTGTAAAATTTATTAAATTAGTACGCCTTTGATGGATAGGACATGTAATTAGGCGAGATGAAGATGAAACGATCAGAAAAATTTTCGACCGAAGAGGACCAGTGGGAAAACGATCCAGAGGAAGACCAAAACTTAGGTATCAAGATAACATAGAGGATGATCTAAAATCCATCGGAGTTAAAGCATGGAGAAAGTTGCCAGAGGCAGGGGCGAATGGAAGATTGTTCTGAAGAAGCCTTTGGCTCATGACGAGCTGTAATGCCACTGATGATGATGAAATAACTATCCACGATTTGTATTTTATTCATCAATTGGATACTTTTCTTATGTAACTGCAACCTATAAATATATTAAAATAATGTATATTCCATTCAGAGAACTTTTTCCTCGCAGTGCGTCGCCTCGAAATACTTGCCAAATAAATACATTTACTATTATGATGGTTTCGCAGGTACCAATTTTTTATAGATAAATAAAAATATTTTTTGTTTAATTTTTACTACGCTAATATCAGTTTTCTCTAACAAATAAATAATTTATTGAAATAATTTTCAAGCTATAACTGCGAAATTGTTTATTTGTTTGTGACAACAAATTGTAATTTTTTTGATAATAATATTCGTATGTTCTTTTAAATTTATTATAAATAAACACCATGGTGTTTTTTGCAGTCACGTTTCACAAATTTTTATTTAATACTATGTTTAGCTAAGACATATAAATTAAAAAATGTGATTAATTCTTTTTAAAACATTATCGACGATAATTAATAAAAAAAAAAGTATTCCGACAAAACTAATTTGAATGGAGAATAATGCATTTATTATCATTAAACAACCCGTCGGCCGGCGCCACTGAATAAACATCCAAACTTTTAAATTCGGTACGGCACGTACGGTCTGACATAAGCAAGTACATATTAGAAAAGTAAGTGATACGCCCACTTCAAATCGCAGTATGCTATAACTGCGAAAACAGCCACAGACCAAGTGAAATCAATGAAAGTTTTATAATAGCGAATAGAGTATTTCAAGCAAATAAAATAAACCTATAGTCCAAATTACTAAAACCCAGGACAAAGATAAAAATATACAAAACAGTGATTAGACCAATAATCATGTGTGATGACGTAAAGGCTGAGAACAGCAGATAGCAAAATAATCGGAAGAATAATGGAAGCTGTTACAATATGACAGAATGAATTTAGAAGTACAAGAAATCAAGATTTGGTCACGTAGTAAGGACCGATGATAATGAAATAACAAGAATTATTATGAATTTGATACCAGCAAGGAAAAAAGGAGAGGAAGACCCAAATCGAGCTGGATACTGCAAGTCAAAAACTTAAGTAGATCAGGAATGGATGGACACGAGGCGGCAATAGATGAAAGAAAACGTGAAACGGTGAAATAATAAAATGGACATGAGGATTGGCATACGATGTTAATAGAGGCCTAGAAAGCTCATCGAGTGGCATTACCCACATAGTGTCATGGATTTTACGTTTATATTGAGTAACTAGAAAAATAAATCTATTTTAAACTAATAATTACCTTAGCTGCAACGCCATGTAGTTTCGTTTCCTCCTTTTTACTAACGTTTTGTCTGAATGTAATTTACAATGGGCATAGAAGGGATCAGCTTGGTCGACTTCTTCCGAATGAGCTTCAGATAGGAATCCCTCTTTTTGAGCACTGTTAAAAGAAATAAGAAAGATTTAACACGTTCGCCACTTTCTCCGACAGGTTTAACTGTTCATAGTAGTCAAACACTTTTTATCTAATCTTATTAAGATTCTTCTATATAATAATTTTTTGTTCTTTATCTGTTATAAATTAGAAAATTTTATATTACTAAAGAAACCAAAATCCAATCGGGAGCATAAAGAATATAGGCAGGTATTTATTTAAATTGAATTATGTGTCCAAAAAATGGTAAAAATCAATGGTAAATTCTAAATTGTTGAATTCATGTTTCTCTAAAAGTTTTACACCAAAAGTCAGGAAAAATTATTTGTAGAGGACTGAAATATCTATAGAAAACAAATGTTGAAATTGTTCTACGAATTAAACGTATTTCAAAAATGTAGCAAGAATATAATACATTTTTCATGCCACCCCTTAAAGTTAGGTCACACGCGGTGCAAGAATGTGTATGACAGGTTGCGTTTTGTCATATTGATGTTTCTGATATTAGACAATATTTGAATTGTCAAAATTTTTATTTTGTGATTTATTGTTTAAAAAACAATAAAGTTGATTAAGAAATATATTCAGTTGAGGAGAAAGTAGCAATAATAAAAATGTTTTATTCGGTTAATAGTGCGCGAATTGCCGGTTCTTTATTTAGCGTAAGATATCCCAATAGACCAATTCCAAGTCATTCAAAAATTCAAAGGATTTTACAAAATTTTGAAATTACTGGGACCGTAATACTAGAATAAGTTCTCAGGCCATTGCAGACCAGTTTAACATTCATATTTCCACGGCCTTAAAATTTTTGAAAAGGAATAAGTTCCGTTAATATAAATTTAAATGTCATCAAGAACTAAGAGAAGGGCTGTTGAGCGACGAGTAGAATTTTGTTACGAAATTTTAGAGAAGGCTAACGCAGACAGACATTTTTTTTTTTTTTATTTCAAATGACATGTCTCGGCTGCTGCGACCATTGACACGAGAAACTGTATTACAGAATAACAATAAAGTTACATTGATTCAATAAATTTCAATACAGATGATATCAAAAAAAAATAAAGAAAAAACTAGCGGATGATTACAAAATTGAAATATAGATAGATGATACAATTACAACAGGTGATATAATTTACAGTTTTTAAGGAACTCTATCACATTAGACATATTGTTTTTAGATTTTAAAATATCACATAAACTTCCGTGGATACCATGTTTGATCCGTGCTGCTGCGTACTGGTTACATTCCACAAGTATATGGCGTACACTTAAACGGGAGTTGCAATATTGGCAGTTTGGAGGTTCTTCGGGAACCATCAGATATCCGTGGGTTAGCCGGGTGTGCCCAATTCTGAGCCTTCTAATGATGGTCTTCGATTTTCTTACCATTGTAACAATTCTAGGTCCTAATATGTTTGGTTGGATAGACTTTAGTTGGGTAGTGCACCTGTTCCATTGATTTTGCCACATTGAGGTAGATAACTTTTTAATTTCAATTATTATATCTTGAAACATTTGCACTTTTTCATCTGTAAGGTCAGAGCGACGTGCGACATTTGCTGCGTGATCAGCATTCTCATTTCCTTTAATACCAACATGTGAAGGATTCCATATCATCGAAACCGAAGTGTTTGATTTAGCAAGTGCTGTACATCTTTCGTGGATTTCATTAACTAAAGGGTTTGATGTGTAGATTTTTCTAATCGAATTTATGGATGATAACGAATCTGTGCAGATTGCTAAGATTTTGGTACCCTGCATTGGAACCTCTAGAGCTTTAAGTATAGCGTAGAATTCTGCTGTGAATATACTGGTCATCTTGGGTAGTCTATACATTGCTAGTATGTTATTTGTCGAAGTAACAGCACATCCGACACTTTCTTCGTCTTTAGATGCATTTGTGAGTATTATGTTATCAAACTTGCCTCTATTAATTATGTCGTTAAAAGTTTGTTTCATGAGTATCGTGGGGGTTTCCATTTTCTTATATCTGCACAAATTTACGTTAAAGTCAGGTAATATTTTTAGCCAAGGTGGAGTATTGGGCTGAATAATGGGGGTGGTGAGATTTAGGTCAATATTTTCTAAGAGGGGCAATAGAAACTGTAGTGATGAATTGGCAGTAGCTCTACTGTGTGCTCCTGTTAATTGAAAATTTTTAATAAGTTGGAAAAATGTATTATTAGGGTTTGCAGAAACCTTAGAAAAATAGGAGTTTAATAGAAGTTGTCTTCTAATATTTAGAGGGGGTTCACACGATTCGACATATATGCTTTCTGTAGGGCTAGATCTGAAGGCTCCAAGACATATTCTTAATGAAGTGTTTTGAATTGTATTTAGTGCTTTTAAATAAGTTTTAGAGGCAGACATATATAGTATAGATCCGTAGTCTAACTTAGATCTTATTAGGGCTCTGTATAAACTTAATAGGACTTCTTCTTCGGCTCCCCATTGTCGATTGGCTAGTGATTTTAAGAGATTTATATTTTTTAAGGCACTGGCTTTAGTTTTTTCTATATGTCTCTTCCATGTTAATTTTTTGTCGAAAATTAACCCTAAAAATTTGTGATTTTCAACTACTTGTAGTGGATGGTCTTTTAATTTTATGAGTGGAAGAGTTTGTTTATAGTTTTTGCTAAAGCTAATCACTTTAGACTTTGTAGGCGAGAAGCTGAAACCAATTTTGTTCGACCAGTGAGAGATGTTATCAATAGTATTTTGCAAGAGAGTGCTAGTGGAGCTTGTTACTTTACCCGAATAGTAAATAACTAGATCATCCGCATAGATATTATGTTTGACAGGGGGTTGTACTAAGGAACTAAGGTCGTTAAGAAGCAGTAAAAATAAGGTTGTGCTGAGGACTGATCCTTGAGGTACTCCTGTCTCCAGGATATAAGAGGGAGACATTTTACCATTTGCAGAGACTTTGAAACTTATGTTAGTTAAAAAATTCTCAACAAATAGATATATGTTTCCAGATAAATTAGACTCTTTAAGTTTTTCTAGGATTGCCGGCCTTGATGCTGTGTCGAAAGCACTTTCTATATCGAGTGAGACAGTTATAAGGTTGTTTCTATTAGAGAATGCTTCTGTGGTATCGGATTGAAGAGTGATAAGATTATCCATCGTGCAACGATTTGGACGAAATCCTGATTGAGCGGTATTGATAGTATTATATTTTTCAAGATACCAGAGTAAGCGTTTGTTGACAATTTTTTCCAGGAGTTTGCAAAGTGTGCAAGTTAAAGAGATGGGTCTAAATGACATAGTTGTATTGGCAGAAGTGTCATTTTTCTTGAGTGGAATTGTTATAGCTTGTCGCCAAAGTGATGGAAATTGGTTATCTAGCCATATGTTGTTGTAGAATTCTAGTAACTTTAATAGGGTACCTTCATGTAGATGTTTTAGAAATATCGATTTAATGTCATCCGGCCCTGCAGCACTGTTCTTTAGGGAATTAACAGCTTCGACTAATTCATCGATTGTTAGTGGGAGATTGACAGGATGATCATTGGAATTTGGATTCTTATGTACAACACATTTATTTGTTATGTTTGTTGGTCCAGTACAGTTGTTATCATGTTTAGTTTTATTCAAATAGTATTTGGCAAGTGTGTTTACAATCTGCTGGTCATCAGTTATGACATTATCTTCTATTAGGGCTGGAATTTTGTATGTTGTGTATCTACCTTTCATCTGTTTTATTTTAGTCCATATTTGACTAGAAGGTGTATCGGAAGTTATGCTACTGATGTATTTGTTCCATGAGTTCTTTTTGCTTTCTTTCACAATTCGCTTAGATTTAGCTCTTAGTTTTCTAAAATTTATTAGATCCGCTTGGTTTCTAGTTTTACGATATCGGTTTAATGCTTTTTTACAATCTTTTACAGCTAGTTTACACGATTCATTCCACCACGGAACATATTTTTTGGAGGGATCAAAGTGGTATTTGCCGATGTATTTTTCGGCGGAACTTATAATAAAATTAATCAACATGTTAAGATCTTCATCAGCAGAATTCATAAAGGAGATTTTATTTGTTTGTTCCTTGACAATTAAGTTAAATAGATCACAGTCAGCGTGAGCAATTTTCCACTTAGTTTTGCTTTGCCTTTGTGAGTTATCATTGTTAGAAATTAAAATGGGAAAATGGTTACTGCCATAGAGACTTTCCAGTGTTTTCCATGTAAGATGAGTAGATAATTCTGGATTACATATGCTTAAATCAATGAAAGAGAGAGTACCTGTTTGGATATGAAAGTATGTGCTGCTTCCAGTGTTTAGAAAATTAAGATTGGAATTGATTATGATATTTTCAATAATTTTGCCTCTACAGAAAGTATTACTGGAGCCCCACATAGTGCTATGTGCATTAAAATCTCCAACTAAGATAAATGGTTCAGGAAGTTGGTTTTTTTCTATGAGGAAAATTTAAATTCAAAAAAGTTTTTAGATTTGCTACAAGAAGAGATTTTACCTAGACTTGCAGAAATAGCTCCAAATAAAGAAGAAATTTGGTTTCAAATGGAGGGATGCCCTGCGCACAATAACTGGGAGGTTAAGGAATTCCTTAAAAACAGCTTATATAATTACTGTTTGATTGGACCTGACTGTAATATTAAGTGGCCCTAGAGTTCGGGAGATTTAGCTTTAAACGATCATTGTATGTGGGGGCATCTAAAATCAAAAATATATTCTGACCAAAAATTTACAGATATTAAAGCATTAAAATGAGAATTATTGAAGAGTGTGCAAAAATAACGCCACGCGTTCTGGCTAATGACGAGAATTTTACAATCGAGTGGGATACTGCTTAGTACAAAATGGCTTCTTATTTGAACATTTTTTATAGTTTTATATTAAGAAATTATCATAAATTATTTTTAGTAAGGATCAAAATAAAACTATATTGAAATTCTTTGAATTGTTGTTTAACCTGGAATTGAATTGGAGTGTATTATATTTTACGTTAAATAAAGATCTGACAGTGCTCGCACTATTGC